CTGCACCTGGGAAGGAACAACTCCATGCACTACTGTATTCTGGAAGAAACCTGCAAGATTCATGGAACAACTCCATGCACTCCAAATTCCACACGAACTCCGCTAGACATCAGTGTTGTGAAAGGGACTTGGTGTACTGGTGGAGGTGGACACCAAGTTGAACATGAGCCAATAATGTGCCCTTGTGGCTAAAATGGCACGTGGTAGCCAGGGCTACCAACAAGTCGAGGGAGGTGATCTGGCCCCTCTACTTGGCAGTGTTGAAGCCACACCTGGGAGTGCTGGGCCCAGTTCTGGGCTCCTCAGTTCAACAGAAATATGGACATACTGGAGAGAGTACAACAAAGGGCCATGAAGATGTTTAAGCATCTGGAGCATCTATCCTATCAGGAAAGGCTGAGAGAGCTGGGACTGTTTACCCAGAAGAGAAGACTCAAGGGAGACCTTATCAATGGCTACAGGATCTTTTCAGCAGTTCCCAGTAACAGGACCAGAAGAAAAGGCATAAAGTGAAGCACAGGAGGTTCCCTCTGAATGGCAGGAAACACTCTTTTACTGTCAGGATGACCAAGCACTAACACAGGTTGCCCAGAGAGGCTGTGAAGTCTCCCTCTTTGGGGACATTCAAAAGCTATCTAGACACGGCCCTGGAGAACTGGCTCTGGGTAGCCCTGCTTGAGCCGGGTGAACTGAACTAGATGACCTCCAGAGGTCCTGCCAGCTTCAGCCAACCTGTGAGTCTATGATTTTGAAAAGAGATGGAAACTTTGCCATTTTTAGTGTTCCACCATTCATTTTAATCATCAAGTGGGGCTGTTCCTAAGAGCTGTAACTTCAGGAAGGGACGCATCAGTGGAGAACAATTTTAAGAAAGCTCAGGTCTCCAATCCCTGCAGCTCATGACCCAGCAGTTACTCAGGCACACACGAGGACCACTGCAGTGTTTTCCTCACTGTTGTTTCTAGCCCTCACACTGCTGGTGCGCCTGTTTGCTCAGAGGAAAGAGCAGCACTTATGCGCTGTGAGCACGATGAGAGTAACCTGAGGGAATGGGACCCCAGCATAAAGAACATGCTGTTTCACTTAGACGCTTTTTCAGGAAAATGAAAAAAACTTAAAACAACATGTATGCCATCGAAGCAGTTTCCTTTGGATTAAAAACAGAACATTAGACACATATTTAATCAGTTTTGTTGTCCCTGGGGGTGTTAATATTTGGCACTCTCCCTCTTTCAATTAAGAGCTGGTTCTCTAGTTCTTAAATAAAACTAGTCAGGAAATTTCCACAAATGCTTTCTCATATAAAATGTATTTTCTGCAAAACTAAACTTTACTGCAAGGAAACAATAATATTCCTTGAAGTTTCTGAATCTTCACTGGGCAACACTGGCTCCAAGAAAAACATTTTGGCTGGTTAAAATACTTCAGCCCAGATCAGTTAGACCTTACCTCATGGTCACAAAAGTCAAAAAAATGTCTCATAGCAGTTTAGTTCAGATAATACATGCTCCAGCTTTTTTTTGCAAAAGCTTCCTTGTCTGAGTTACACCATAGACATTCCTGAAGCTGCAACATCAGACCAGGTCCAATTGAACTGGGGACCCCAAACCACAGAGGAAAAATAGGGATGCTGCCTCTGAACTACAGTTCCCGTGAGGAACCCAAGTCCCTCTGAAGTCCTGACCTCAGAATGTTCAAGTAAATAAACCAAAACAAAACAATTTTATTTGGAATTGTTAAGAAATTTAACTTTAGTCAAAGGAATTGAAAGCATCAGCTGGAATGCATTTCAACTAGTTCTATATACTGATATTGTTTTCCCCCTTAAAATACAAAGACAAGTAATGTCTTGGGGTTGTTGTTCTACCTTTCTGTGTGAAGCAAGATGTAACAGAAACCTGGCCTGATCCAGAAAGTCACCTCCCAGTTTGCTGAAGGTAAGGATGAGCCAACATCTCTCTTTCAGTCTGTTCTCCTGAACACCCCAGAGCACAGCATTTTATTCAATGTCCACACAGTGAGTGAACTCAGTAATATGTGTGACTAAAGTAAAACTTGTGTGAACACAAGTCTCCCAAAAAATCATTCAAACTTGTTTAGGCAGTATTATTGGGGTTTTTTTGTATTGTCTTGCAGTAGTTTCTTGCTGTTGCTGATCAGCACCTGTTTTATGTTTTCTTCTGACTTCATGTAGCCAGAGCTTGCAGCCGTAACTCTTGCTGTGTCCATATCTGCTTGATTAGAGATTACTTCAACATCCACCTTTTCACTTGAAAAAATACACTATGCTTCCAATCTGTCAAGGGAAACTAACTTCTCTAGCTCTCAGATAATTTTGTTTACTCTTTTTCCTAATTTTCCAGAACTCATTTTTTTCTAATTGCTCAACATCTTGTTTAAAAAGCTGACTGCAGTCCCATCATGTTGTCATACTAGTCTTAAAATGCATACACAGGAGAAAAGTAACTCCTGATTTCTAGTTATTTTACCTGGTTCTATACCTGGAGACTTCATAAGTCATCTGGCCTCAATATCATGGCAGTAAATTGTCATGAACTTTACCGAGTTTCCATGTCCTTTGTCTTGTGTTCCCCGCCTTATAGCTACAGTTGCTTTCCAATACTTTCTAACCTTACTAGGGCACTCTTAACTTTTTATAGAGTACTAGAATTCTCCCTTGACGAATTTACCACACAGGAATAAATTTAATATATTCTATGATCCAAAAAGTAATCTGAACTTTGACTTTTTCTTTCATAAAGTATACAACTCTCTTGAGAAAAGAGAAGTTTCTATTCTTTTATGAAGAAATGTTGATATGTCCATACTTTCTTCCCTTTCCTCCCCCTCCCTTTTTTCTTGAAAAACACAGAAGCAAAACACACAGAATACATTCAGATTAAATGGTGGTGAACACAAGTTTTCAAATTCTTCTATTTTTTTCCTTCCCCCCCCTTTCTTTCCTGCTTTTTCTCCTAGTCAAATTCCCATTCCCACAACCCCCCCTTTTTATGTATCCTTTTTATGTATTCTGTGGCTCTGGTCAATTCCGAAAGAAGTGGAAGAAGCAAAAAAGTCTGGAATGGTTCTCCATAGGGAAAGTAGAACCTGTGTTCTGCTTTCTACTTTGTTAAAAGAAAAGGAACGAGTAAGTACAAAATATATAGGACTTTACCAAGAGACAGACTACGAAGAAAATAAAATCCATAAACTCAGAATTACTCAAGCCAAAGAAACGGGGTCCTGGTTGTAGATCGAGGTGGAAGCAGAAAGGAACACTGTGAATTATTTCCAGATGGAGACAAACATCTCAGTGTCCAGAGGGGCTCAAAGATAGCAAGAAGACAGGAACTCTCCCTGAACTAACCCTTGAAGAATAAATACCAGTAGATGGGCTTGCAGAGTGGCTTTCTGGAAGGGGCTCTAAACCTATGGCAACCCCTGACTGCACCTCAGTGACCCCCAGAGCAATCCTCTCTTAAGTTACTGACAGCAAGAACTCTTTCCATGCACTTGCCAACCTTGAAATACAAGACAACTCCACTTCTAAACTTTGTTCCTTAAAGCCTGGGCTCTAAAAAAGCCACCAAGAAAATTCCCATAGATTTCAGTAAATACAAAATTTCACCCATTGTGTATTTATGCCGTACCACCATTAATAAAAATTCTGTGAGCACATTCAGTAACAGACGAAGAATCTGTCAGTCCCCTTCTATTGTCCTTTGTTCTGCATCTGGCAGGGATCAAAACCAGCAGCAGGGTCTCACTAGTTAGGGGGAGAACCAAACATTGTGTGATGAAATACACACATGCAAGGCAGTGTTCTTGCATAAGTGTCTCTCCAGAATTTTTTAGACCAGTTCTCTTGTACATCAGCTGGGAATCAAACTTCTTTTGTTTGCACTTTTGAATTTTAAAGGAGGAGCATACTGTTTATATGTTGACTTTGTGTGTGTGTGCATCTGTGTGTAAATCAATGTAGAAAAGCTTAATGTAAAGCTTGGAATAATCATTAGAATATTAGGCAATAGAAACAAAAAATCTACTCACTTCCTTCACTTCACTGAAAGAAAAGTATGACAAGGAGCAAAATCCAAAGCAATACTTGACCCTGGTTTGATGGATGCTGGCTCTGAACTGTCAGTGGCCATTACATCAGATAAGGCATGAGCCTAAGCCAAAGTCTAAAGCATTTTAAGGCCAGGAAGGTAAAAAGAATCAGGGCCAGTGCAAGCTTTAAAAGTCAGCAAAGAATTTTAAAGCCATATGCTGCTTAACAGGCACCAGGGTAGAGGGAACGTGAGACTGGAGAAATATGATCTGCAGATCAAGTCCTAGTAACAATTCTGGCAGCAGCAACATTCAAAACCATCTGCAGCCAGTTTAGCAAACAATCTGGAACACCACCAGGAACAAATTAAAATAGTCAATCCTGGAAGTCATGAAAGTCTGTATGAACAAGAGCCTGAGCAAAAGAAATGGTGTTTTCATGAGAATATCTTGCAATATTCTCAAAAAACATCAAAAGATTTTTTTTTTTTTGCCCTCTCTTTCATGTGAACACAAAAAACTGAAAGGAAAGTCATATGGGTAGGCAGAAAGAAAAACGTTTCAGCACTGGAGCTCCAAAGCAATCAAAATGCCACAGATTTCACTGGCAGCAATATTAATACAAGTCAGGAAGAGTCCTCCTGTATACTGCAGGGCCTCAGACCCGGATATTCCACTACACTTTGCAGCACATGTTGAGTGCAGGAGCTGGGAAGCAAATGTGCCGAGAAATCCCACGGAGAGGGGTGTGGGTGAGAAAACTGGCTAGCATATGCCGTGCTCCGACATGTAGCAATTGAACTCTCACTACATGGATCTCATTGTGCAACACCTCCCCCAGCAAGTGAAAAGAACCGGTGCATGTGTGTAAGAGGTTAGGAGTTTAGGATGCAGTGCCAACAGGAAACGGAAAAGGGGAGACAAGTAGAAAAACAGGCAGTTACGGAAAATGCAAGGAAACACAATTCCATTAATGCTGGGCAGCGAGCATCATGAATTGTCTGGGGTGAAAACAAAGGCTCACACACTGGATGCAGCACAGTCAGGGACCTCTGTTGTGGACTAGATCCCCTCTTCTGGGGGAACTTCTGTCTGCTAAGTTTCACTGCAGGCATGAGAGGCATCTTTCACTCTGCTGCTCTAGCACCATGTCCCGCTCTGCTCCAGCAGAGAGCAAAGGCCTTCCCACCTACTAGTGCAGTTCACCCTCCTTTTTAACCTAGGAAAGACAAGAAGGTTTTCAGTTGTGCATTTGTCTGGATTTTTTTGAATCAAAAGGAAAGCTGAATTCAATCCAAATCCCTGGCACTTCAGATTCCCACTAGTTTAGCTGAATACCAGGAGTTATTGGAGAGCTCTTTTCACAGAGCAGTTTGACCCACCAGCACAGATGGAGATGCAGAACATACGATCTGGGCCAGGTTCTTGTTCAGATACTGCAGGGTGTGAACAGGCGACTTTCATGCAGTGTCTATTAAAAAGGAACATTAGCATGGTATTAGCTTTCTTTTTGAGCAGCCAGGAGAACAACATGAGAACAAAAAATTAATTTCATGTTAATCCTGCTGTGACTCTTGTTTTAATCACTCTACTCTTAGCTTTGTTACTCCAGAATTAATAGATATTAAAGCAGAATTGTGTCCACTTTAATTGCAAGTCCTATCTTCTTTGGCTTTGACAGGCAGGGTGAGACTGAACCCTTGGTTCCAGTCCTGAGGAGGGTTATGTTCTAGGGTTGCTGGCATAATGACAGAGCTGTGATGGAGCTGGCTCATTCCCAAGCCCTGCTGCTCCTTTACTTTGCCCAGGAGATGGGTAGTTAAGCTCACAGCAAGTCAGGGCTGATCTAACACTAGGTGACTGTCTCATTGCCATTCTCTTTCTGATTATTTTCAATCCAACCCTAAACCTACAATCAGAGCAAAATAAAATAGAGTAAAATGAACTAAAACAAAATATATCAGAAAAAAATAAAATAAAATAAAATAAAATAAAATAAAATAAAATAAAATAAAATAAAATAAAATAAAATAAAATAAAATAAAATAAAAATAAAATAGTGATGTATACCCAAGAAAACATTTTCTGACATTCTGGGGCAGAGGAGGGGAAGCCAAACAGGCACCTATGAAACACCATAGTAATTTGTGCATCGAGGCATTTTTTAGTGCAGAGGGTGACAGGCAGCACTCCGGACTGATGAAGCTCACGATAAAATCCACGGAGAGCATTCCCTGGCTCTTTAATTGCCCTTTCTAAATCACTCTTGGTACGGATTTGGGAATTAAGTGGTTTAATAGCTGACTCACCCGAATGGTTTTGATGACGGCTTTATTTTCAAACGAAGGGCCCACAGCGCGGGGCCGGGCGCGGAGCGGGGGCGGCTCCCGGCGGCGCCAGGAAGGGCTCGTGCCCCACACAGGGCTCGCCGGGGCCGGGGCCGGGGCCGGGCCAGAGCCGTCCGGGGGAAGCCGCGGGGCCCGTCCCGGCACCCTCATTCACAGCCCTGCGTGTGGCAGGAGCCGCACACGGCTGGTGACCGCGGCTTTCCGGGGCTGGGCAGCTGCCCGAGCCGCTGCTGAGGGATAGCCCGCAGAGCAGTGGTAGAGTTCGCTAAAGCCGTTCCGCGGGGCCCGGGGACACCGACATGGCCAATCCTACAAGGCGGCAAAGACAGGTGTAATAATAGAAGGCAAGTTCCATTTTTATTCTCATCTGTATCCCAGCTCCTCATTTCATGCCCAAACTTCGATCCATCCCCACGGTAGCAAAGCTACCAACAACATAAACCCTCGCCAGCTGGGGTTAATACCAGAGTAGAGCCAGAGAGCAAGAAAATGCCTGGTGAAAGCCAAAAGTCCCTGCCCTTGTCCTCCCCTCCTCACAGCAGGAGTGAGAGTGATGCAGTGTTCGGGCAAGGGGGAACCTAAACTTCATAATCTGTCTTGTGTCATGTATGATCAATAGGAAACCCCAGATTCATCTCCAGGCCCCCAGAGAGGAGGTCATTTACATGCCTCAACTTGCCAGGAAGTACCTGCTTCTGGAGGTCTTCAAAGCCCCTGATCCTTTTTTGTCACCTCCTAAGGGAATATAAGCGCTGGGTTTAGCAGCACTCTTTCACTCGGTACTCATAGTACAAATCTACACTTGGCAGACAGTGCCAGACCTATCATGCACCCTATTTTGCAAAATATTTTTTCCAAGCTATAAAATGCCTTATTCATTTCTATGTCTGTTTTTCTTTGAAAGTACAGAGGACTTGAAGCCAACCAAATACACTCGAGATGAGTGTAATTTCTCATGTTTTCTGTAAGGCTCCCAATTCACCATAATATCTAATAGGCCACAGGAAAAAAAAATTATTTTTCCACAGCTTCTAAATCCCCAGTAAATTAATTAAAGAAGTAGAAATAAAAATAAAAATGCTTAATCACTTTTACCCAGTATTACTGTATCATCATTAGGACAGAAAGGCCCAGAACTTTGGAAAGCTAGTAAACCACAGTATTTACAGCAAATCCATGATTTGTGAGATATAACAAGTTCTCAGGGGCAAGACATAAAATGAAATGCAAAAAAAAAAAAAAAAGAAAAAAAGGGTAAGGAAACCATAGCTAGAGCTCTTACCATTTTTATTGAATAAGATATCCTGCCTACAGCTTCAGCACAAGATGGTCAACATGGTCAACATAAAAGAAACCTCTTTTAAAATAATTGTATTTTCACGTACTTTCTTTATATGTTGAGAAAGGATGAATGAACTGTGGATGTTTTTAAAGAGCAAATGGATGACCAGGTAGGACTAGGCAGGGCTGTACCCCAAGAAGAGATTAGAAGGAAGATCCCCCACTTCTTTAGATATACACAGAATTCAACACTGATGTTAAGAGATAGTTGAGATTCTCATAGCCACAGCAGAGGGGAACTGGAAGTCCCAGCAGGCAATTTGTGGACAGATTAAGTCAACACCCAAAAACACACAAACAGGTGATTGCAGCAGGGATACTCTGTGTTCATAGAAACACTTCTTCATGACTCTTGGGTGAAACTCTGAGGCTGAATGTAAAAAAAAGTATTCTTTATTTTCTATTATACTTTATTAGTGAAATACTTTTATTTCCAGGAAAAAAATATTGAAATAATTTAAAATTACTGTAATTGAGTACTTATAAACCCATTGATTAAGAAAAATACTAATCATGGTATTTCAAATGTAAAATTTGTTCTATGGAAGAAATAGACATTATTTTTTCATTTCAAAATTGTCCTAGTTTAGTGGCCCCCAGAAGGGGCAATTATGACTTGAACTGTTCGGAGGCCTGCTATTGAAAAAAAATGCATTAAACCACTGTCTCTCTTGTGTACTGACTTCCATCAGTCAAGATCATTGCTTCACTGTCCATCACCTGGTAAAAGAAATAGTGCTGTGTTTGTAATAGCATATGATCGATATCTTCTGCTTTGAAGATAAATCTCGTTTCAGTAAACGCCTTGTCTGCCACCAGCAAGAGACAATATGCTGTTTCCTTCAGATTACCTGTTAATTAAAGGTTTATGTCTCTTCTATTAAAAGTATGGTCGGGAAGTCAATTTCATATGTAAAGCTAAAGCTAACTAGGTCTATGGTAGTAATGGAAGGAAGACAGAAAAGCTGCTTCCCCAGGTCCTTGACTCCAGAAGATGCCTCCCAGTTATCATCACACTCCCATTCCCAAGAATGATGCTTCACACAGGCTTTATGAAAGGGCTTCTGATAGCTTCTGACCTGTACCTATATCTTGTAGCCAGATACTTCTTTAAAAGTGAGTTTTCCATCCTAGCCTAACTTAATTTCAATCAGAATTAAAGTTATTAAAACCAAGAAAATGCTTCTATTCAGACAGTGAAACTAATACCTCAGAAATCGCTTCTGAGAAAAATATTTTGCAATTAATATGGAGTACTCTGTATAATGCTATAATTATTTTTATGGAAACTAGAGATGGTTTGGAATTAAGAAGTCATTCTAGAATAAGCCACATGCTTGTCAGTGTTTCTATGGACTCTTGAAATAATATTTTCAAGAAAATTCCATTTCATTTTTTTTTCTCACATGCTCTAAAGATTCCACTGGCAAAAGAGAAGTCCCGGCCCTTGAGCAGAGTGAAACTCTGTCAGTACAAAGATCAGTGGCAAAAAATCTATTGACTTGGATGGAGTAAGCACTACTCTGGAACAACTGGAGTTTCCATTGCTGCAGTCATTTTCCTTGTAAATACTTCTCAGGTTGATACCATAGCCTTGCTGTTTTCTTATAAAGTCTGTTTTATTTTAAAATGTTCCCCATAATATTGTAGAGTAGAAGTATTTTATATGAGAGTAGACTCTGTTAAGAACTAATTTCTTTTTTTTTCCCATAGTTCTTCCTTTCTTGGCAGGAAATTGAAATAAAGCTCACAAAAAAAGAGGATTAGCACCATGAAATTGAAATATTTTATACAAATTGAGGTGTAGAGAGAAGCTGTGATTCTGAAAATTTACAGGAAGTGAAAAGCTGTGTATCAAGTATCTAAACTTTCCTTCCAGATAGTGAACTGGGGGTGATTCATCTTTCCATTAGACAATTCACATGATATATGTCCAATTACTTTCAAGATATAAATGGATATAAAGTGAAGCACACTCTGTGAGATTTCAAGACAGCTTTAATTGATTTCAGTGGGAATTGCATTTATGTATCTAAGGGGAGAATTCAGCTGTTCGTATTTAAAATGTAGAACCTCAACATCTTAAAAAAATGTTCCGGGAATCTGAAAAAAATAGCTTAATTTTTTTCTCAAGGGATATAAGAATGCTGCAACTTACATGACATACAGAACAATAATTTGAAAAGACAGATATTCACATCAACAAGGATGTGATTTTCAAGTGCAGTGGTGCAATTCAGATAAGAGGCCTGAATCTCAGATCAGAAAGAATTTCCTGAGTTTATGCCAATTTCATTTTGGACAGATTTCTGAAAGAAATAGGAAAGCACATTTGGGAGAGCTAAGGGTTAAGGACTGCTGCTTATTTATTTTTTCTTTGGAGCAGTTTGGTTGGCTGATTTATCATGCCCACCTGCTCCTCTGCAAGGAATGGACCTGCTTTTGTGGTAATGACTCTTTAGAGTCAGGTGATTTCAGCCATCTCTGAGAAGAGTACTGTGCTGTCCACCAGTCCAGTAGTTAATTCAGTTTGGGATTGGGGAACCTGTTCCTCCTTCAGTCCCAGATACTCTCCCCACTTTTTCCTCAGCATGAGGAGGGGAGAAGCAGCAGCAGTGCAGACCCTGTCAGGGGTTTATAAATCCGTATGTTTTCTGGCTTTAGCAGGATGGCTGCAGGTCATGCAGAGAAGTGTGAGTGTAAGGGAGTGCTCAGCACTGAACTGAGTGAGAGCCAGCAGGATTAGCACTCCTTAGTGTATGCATTTGTGTATTTTATCCTCAGCAGATGCCAAGTCAATTGCCACCAGGACAGGAACTAGTAGTTATTATTTTCTGCTCATATGTGTTTCTCAGTGTAATGTACAGTTAGTAGAATGACTCATTTCTGTCAGTATGGTTGGTGTTGGATGGACATTAACTGAAGCGCACTGTGTTTAATTTCAGACTTGCGAAAGAACTTTATTTCATGCTTTTTTTTTTTCTCGCAAGAAAATCCAGACAATATATTAGAAGGAAACTTTTCTGTTCCATTTCACCCTCTTGCATTTAGTCACTTGACTCTCTTTAGCTCAGTTGTGTCTTACAAAATCTCCTTTGGGCAGTGGTAGCAGAGCTAAAAGCTCAAAAGATTTATGACTTCAATTGTTTAGTTCACTGGCAATAATGCATCATGATAGAAGCAATTGTTGGAACAGGCAGCTATGATACCATTCTTTTATGAAAAACTGTAGTTGGAGATAAGGAAGGCAACAGAAGTCTCTTGTGAATATTATTATCCTCTGGAAATTATCCCAAAAAGATTTGCAGTTTCTCTATAGACTGTGGCTAAAGTTCATTGATCCACAGACTATCATTCTGAATAGAGATTAAAAACAGATGGCCGTAGATGTCGGCTTGGCTACGAATCTCAAAAGAAATGAGAGGGAGTACAGTGATGACTGACCACAAATGAAAGCATTGAAGGGGTTCTTATTTTTTTCTTTAATTCCCTATTTCATTCCTCTGTAGTTTTATACAAAGTCCATTGTACTTAAAACTCAAATAATATCAACACAGAGAAGGTATGCAAAGTATACTGAAGTAGATCAAAATTATACAAAGTATCCTAAAAATACACTACAAAGTCTTTTATGTGGGGCTTTTGTTAGGTTATTGTGCTGGAGCAGTGCATTGTCAGTGAAAAGGGTCTTTGTATAAACTGACTTGAATTGATGGTAATCCGTTTGCTTTAGCGGCTCAGGTCAAGTGAAGAGTAGGTATAAATTATGTGCACTCATAAAAGTGATGAATACACTCTACCCTTTAAGACAATACAGACAGTGAACCCCCAAATATTTTATCTGACAGGCCAAAATCCTTGGTTTTATTTAATGTATGCACATATACAGATTTGTTAATATAATGAGAAATATCAGTCTTTATGCAACCTCATAGAACAAGATTTCCCAACATCTACTTTCATAGTTTTTAATTTCTGTTAGTACACAGTGCCATTGAAATTTTTGAATAATAATTTCCCTTTTTT